CTTTGCTGGCTGGCGACAGACGTCGGGCGGTTTATCAAGGTCTGGGCACCGGGCTGGCAGAGATGTCTGCAGGATGATAGCAGGCCACGGGGTACGTGGCGGGGATCCCGGGCAGGAATAAACCCGTGCCTGGGGGTGTAGCAGCAGGGCAGTTCTTGCTGGCGCCGGGTTTGTTGCAGCCCTGCCAGCCTCGGGGGCTGTGGACAAACGTACCTGCAGGTCCAGGAGCAGCTCCTCCAGCAGCAGTTGGCAGGCTTTCTTCTGTGTCCTGTCTAGAGCAGCCCGGAGGGATGTGGGGACTTCTCTGTGGGCAGTGTCGGGGTGCAGGGAGGAGACAGAGGAGCTAGGAGAGAGAGAAGAAGGGAGGGGACAGGTAGCCTGGGAAGCATGGTGGGGACACGGGTCCCACGTGCGGATGGGGAGTGGGTAGTGGGGTTGCTACAAGACCTACAAGGTGCTGGTGCACGTTACCTGAGAGCCAGGTTGTTGTTGAGCATGGCCAGCAGGTAGGAGACATAGTACTTGGGTACGGTACGGTCCTTCTGGTGCTCCTTCCCACATTGCACTAGGGCTTCCCGCAGACTGCAACACAGTGAGTCAACCATGGTGGGTGGGCAGAGCCCTGGACGTCTCGCCACGAGGACCCGGAGCTGGGATGCTCTTGGGGGCACGTGGACCTCCCACAACACTCCCAGCTCACTTGGCTCTTTCCAGCTCCTGCCACCAGGTTGGAGAGTGACAGGTTGTTGGGTAGGGTGGGACAGTGGGACCCATTCTGGACCCCTCGGGAGGGATGCTCTTGGGGGCATGTGGACCTCCCACAACACTCCCAGCTCACTTGGCTCTTTCCAGCTCCTGCCACCAGGTTGGAGAGTGACAGGTTGTTGGGTAGGGTGGGACAGTGGGACCCATTCTGGACCCCTCGGGAGAGCAGGGCTTGGCGCTGCTGGAGAGGTGCTTGGGGCAGCAAGCCCTGGAAGCTGATGGCCCCACAGGCTGAGACAGTAGCCCCATGGGTAGACAGCCTTCTGGGACCTGGATGAGTGCTGTGTGCCCCACGGCAGAGATCTCCACCACCAGCCTATGGTGCTTGGCCATGGGACCTGTGGTCTCTGAGGATGGGCAGGGGTGCAAGGGGCTCCACTGACCGGCCTAGAAACGCCTCGAGCTCCTCCAAGGCCATGTTGTAGACCTTCTGCTGCAGAGAGTCCGTGATCAAGGAGGCTACCTGGATATTCTCATTCAGCATCTGCACAGGGAAAGAAGAGCAGAGGTGAGTCAGCGGGAGGCTGCAGGCCATGGCCCCCTTTTTGGGGGCTCTCAGCCTGGCCACGCCCCATGGTGCTGGAGACCCACCTGCATGACAATGACGGGCAGGGCTGACTGGAAGAAGCCCTGATGGTCCATCTCAGGTTCCTCTTCCCTGAACCATTCCTTGAACTCCACCTCCAGGGTCCTCTGCATCCACACGAGCACGCTAGCCTGGGGGATGGACACCCACCACGGTCAGCCCAAGAAGTCAGGTACCAACTCCCTCGAGACCCAACATGTAGCACAGCAGCGAGTCCCAGGCCTCATCCCACAGGCTCATGGTCTCCTGCTGCTGTCAGAGCAGATGCCGGCACGGTGGTGGTTGTTGGGTCCCCGTACCCGCTGCACGTGTGCCGTCCCACTCACTCACCTTGACTTTCACCACGTATTTCCTCTCCGTCAGCTCCACGAGCTCAGGGGACATCAACGGGCCCAGAGCAGAAACGTCCACTTCTGGGAGAAGGTCAGGGTGACCCATCATCTCCGGGCTGGAGGGCAGAGGTGGGACAGGGCTGGGAAGACCTGTGTTTTCCAGCAGTTCCTACCTCTCCCTCTGCCCGCCCGGTGGTCATCCCCAGGCAGCCGGAGCCACTCTCCCAACCCGCCTGCGTGCTGGTAGACACCCCAGCTGGGTGTTCACCCCCCCCCGGGTAAAGCTGGGTGCTGGGGTTGGTGCTGACCTGTGGTACACACGAAGCGCCCACTCAAGGAGGAGGAAGAGCGCCTGTTTGTCCAGGTCCTCTGTGCTGGTTGGTGCTGACCTGTGGTACACACGAAGCGCCCACTCAAGGAGGAGGAAGAGCGCCTGTTTGTCCAGGTCCTCTCGGAGGATGTCCTGGAGGTGGCTGGTGAGGGCCTGGTGGTAGGTGGCAGTGCAGACGCTGAGGATGTTGTAGTGAGCTGGGACGCACTGGACCATCAGGTCCTTCACCACGCGCAGCTCGGACACGTTGGTGCTGACCTGTGGTACACACGAAGCGCCCACTCAAGGAGGAGGAAGAGCGCCTGTTTGTCCAGGTCCTCTCGGAGGATGTCCTGGAGGTGGCTGGTGAGGGCCTGGTGGTAGGTGGCAGTGCAGACGCTGAGGATGTTGTAGTGAGCTGGGACGCACTGGACCATCAGGTCCTTCACCACGCGCAGCTCGGACACGATGTCCTTCTGCAGCGCCGCCAGGTGCCTGGCCAGCCCTGGCCCCTCAGCGTCCATGCGGGCGGCATGAAAGTGGGCTCCTGTGATGGTCTCCTGGAGAACGTGGTAAAACTTCTGCCTCCAGCCCTTTGGGCGGCCAGGGGGCAGGAAGGTGGCCTCCAGGAGCAGAGTATCATCTATTTTCTCCTCCCGCTCGATGATCCTTACAGCGGTGACGAAGAGAACTGGGTCCTCGCGCACCAGCTGCAGGCTGCTGCCCACGATGTCCCACAGCTGCTTGGCCAGGCTCTCATTGAGTTCCTGCAGGCCACCGAAGTAGGACAGCACAGTTGCCTGGGCACCGGAGAGCCCACGGAGGTGCAGCTGGGAGAGGATGTCATCCCGGAGGTGCTCCATCATCATGAGCTCTGCGTGGGCCTCCAGGAGGTGCTGCCCACGGAGCAGCTGCAGGGTATGGGAAAAAACCTCGTGGACTGTGGGAGAGGGGGGAGAGATGCCGGGATTGAGTGCGGGGGGCAAAGGGGGACAGCACCGGGGTCACGGGCGCAGGTTAGCAGGGAGATGCTGCGGGGAAGGGTCCGAGACCTGGGGCTCTGGGAACACCGTGCCGGATCAGGCCCTGGGGAGGCAGTGGCACCTCCATCCACGGAGACTTTCCAAACCCAACCGGCAAAGCTGGAGCGACCTGCTCTAGCTTTGCTGCCAGCCCTGCGCAGAGCCCGGGGCTGGACTGGAGTTCTCCCCGGCGCCTTCCAGCCCAAATCCACGAGGACCGGGCCAGTGCCTTACCCGAGAAGAGCTGGGGCAGCACCTGGACCACCGAGGCCAGCTGCACGTGCTCCGCCATCAGCGCCCGCATCTGCTGGAGGCCCTGGAAGCGGTCTGCACTGTCGAGCAGGGCCCACCGCGCAGCCCCCAGGTCCTGGCACACGCTCTGCACCTCCTGGGCCGCCGACCGCAGCTGCTCCAGCCCCGCACTTACCCCCTCCAGGTAGGACTGGACAGTCGACTGGGGAGCAGAAGAGGACGGAGGGGCAGTGGAGAAGCTCTCAAAGGCTGGAGGACTCGCGCACCATTTGCCCCAGCCTTGCCAGGTCTCTCCCGCGTGCATTCTCCCAGCCCCACAAGGTCACATCTGCCTCTGCCATCATGCCATCGTATCTCCCAGACCTTCCTTGACGACCCCATCCCATCAGACCCAAGCACGCCCAGCTTCAAGAAACCCGCTCCAGCAGCAGGAATGGCTCATTTCACCACCACCCCCCCCAGGTAAACTGAGTCACGGTGACTATTTATGGGGCGGGGGGCAATGGCTGCTGTGCAGGAGGTGGGAGAAGGGCATCACTTTGGGGTGACCAAGGCAGCAGGGTGAGCAGTAACCAGATGTCTCCTTTCAGTTTTAAAAGATTACTTTGCTTCTGCAAAATATTGGCAGGCCAGAGGGCCCCCGTGTGCCCCCCAAGGCATATTAACGGCATGGAACACCTCAGCGGCCGCACGAACCCTCCTCCAAAATGGATTTCCATCTTTTCCAGCCCTGCAGCGGCGCTGGCGCCTCTCCATGCCTTGTCCGCCCATTTAACTCCCGGCTCCTGGTGCCAAGGAGCACTTTTACCCAGCGTCACCAGAAGCAAGTTGTTTTCTCCGAGGCCGCGTCACTCAAAACGAGTTCACCCACATTCGGGTAGGAGAAAACCATCTCCAAAATAATCAGGAGAAGGTTGGGGTTCTCAGACCGATTGGGTCCCGAGGTTTAATTGTTCCTCGGGTGACGCACCAAGGGTCGCCCTGAGGAGGGAGGTGTGCACGGGGACCGGGGACAGCCCTTACTGATGCGTGTAGAGACGGAGTTTCTCCTGCGGGATCTGCAGGCAGGGGCAGGTTGGAGCTCTTTGCCTCCTCCTCGCCGTGGGGAAGGGGAGCTTTGGTGCTGGGATGGGACGGTGATGGGGAACGCTGACTCCCGCACACGGGATGTGCTGAACGCCCTTGGCGTTTTGTTTTGAAGGGTGGTCGGAGACACGGAAGACTCATTTTAACACTTCAGAAGCTACCCAGGGGGAGGGCAGGGAGTGTGGGGGGGGGGCGTTTACCAGATCTTTTCCCCCAAACAATTGCATTTCTCCCACCAAGCGCCAGCCAAAGGACAAGGTTTTTCCAGAAGTGGGAAAAAAAGATGACTCAATGCAGAAGAGGGGACGCTGGCCGAGATCCCTGCTTGGGGAGGCTGCGGGCGCCCACGGGGCGGGCTGTGGCAAACACCCACCTTCAGCCGGGACTGGATGGAGCTGTTCCTCTGTGTCTCTCGGCTCCGGTACTGCCCCAGCCCCTCCAGTTTCTCGGGGCAGTAAAACACCCCTGAAGCCCATTTCAGAGCGGCTCCTCTCGCCAACTTCTCAGCCTTCTCCGCTTCCGGCCACTCATCGTCTGGGGACGAAGCCAGGGGTTAACGAGCACGACGAAGCCTCTCCTGGCGGGGCAGGAAGGGCCCCCGAGGCCAGAGGCAGGAAGCTGGCCGCCAGCGGACCTCCAAGTGGGAAGCCGGACAGCGCGGCAGCAAGCGGGTCCCTTCGCGGGGGCCCCCCCCTCAGATGCCCCCAGCATGGACCGGGGTCGTCGCAGCAGCCGTGGCGAAGGCTGCCCCGAGGAGCTATCGCCCAGCCTGCCAGCTCGGGCTGTCCCCCAGGCCGAGCGCACATCCCTATCGCTCCCCCCCCCGAACACAACGCTGGGTTGTCTGAGGGGGGGGGTCCTGATGCCACCTGGGAAGCCCTCGGCAGGGCTGAGGCTTCGGCAGGGAGTCAGCAGGAGGGACGGAGAGATGGCGGCTCTCGCATGAAGGAGAGCCAGGCCGAGGTGAAGACGGGAGGCTCCCGGTCTCCCAAAGGCACCCACGCAGCTGTGGGGGGCCACGGCGTCCCCCCCCTTGGCACAGGGTGTGAAGCCGTGCCAAAGGTCTTCAGGCCAGAGCGGAGGGCTGAGAACCAGCGCGTTACCACACGCCAGCCCCCATCCCCAGCGCCTGTTTCGTCGTTTCCCCCTGCTCCATCCCCGGTAACTTCCCAGCTTGGGGCTCACCGCAGCCCCGCAGGGATGTCACCCAGTCCCAAGCCGGGCTCCTGCTCTGCTGGGGAGCCTGCCTGCACCGGCACCCTCGGGGACCGGGGGGGGCTTCGGAGGAGGCCAGCGGCTTTGAGGACGAGCTGTGCGGTGAGCAGCGCTGCCCCCGGCGCAGGTCAGGAAGCAGAGCCGGGCTCCCACCCCCTCAAGAGCACAAGGCGCCGGCCCCGGCACAGGGAAAAGGACCAGGGGTGGCAAAGCAGAGGGGCGGGGAGCCCCCAAAACACGCTGAGAGCAGTAGCACCCCTCCCCA